TGAATCATAACCTGCAGTTTGAAAAACACTATTCAGGACTCTAAGTTCCTTGAGGGCAGTGACTATGTCAGTGAATCATTTCATCTTCATATTTCCAAACCCTGGCATTATTCCTGGCTCTCAGTAGCCTTTTAATAAATGTTTTCGGAATGAATAGGCCTCAGTTAAAAAGATCTGCAGTCACTGGGATTCCGGAAGGGACAGGAGAAGTGAATAATTTATCGCAGACTTCCCAAGAGCTCCTGCTGTCCTCTAGACACTGGGGCCTTTGTGGACGTGTCTGGGAAGCCTGCTCTCTCTGCCTGCCTTCTGCTTCCCCCACCTTCCAGGAGCAAGGGCAGGAGGTTTAATGAAGTTCAGAGATTTCCCAAGGCAAAATCGTATTAATCAGGTTCTCAGTGGATATTTGTCAAGGGACAAATGATAAAAAAAAAAAAAAAAAAGTAGAAGAAAGCAAGATTCTTAACAAGGCCTTCATTTCATCTTATATGTGTAAACTTAGTCCCCATAGTACCTGATTCCTTCTACTCCTTCTAAAGCCACTATTATGCTTTTTTCAGCCCATCTGTTAGACCCTGACCACTTTTGATTTTTTTTTTAATGCTATAAATCTTCATTATACTGTGCCCCATGCCAGGATTTTTCCATTTGGGGGTAGAAAAAATCCCCAAGCCCACCAAAACCCTGTGGCTTGGTTTCCTGTCCAGCTGGCTTGCTGTTCCTTAGGATTTTATTCCCAGCATCAAAGTGGCTTGACAGACTGAGAACAAACCTCTGGCTCACCCTGAACTCACAAGTGTACCATTTCCAAGTCAGAACAAACACCAAGTAATAGCAAGAGAAAAAGAAAGAAAAAAAAATTATTTTCCTGACTTAGACGCCAGTTCAGAGTGAAGCCCAACTCTGTGACTCCAGACAGGGATGTTATGTGGCTTTGGCTGTCCTCAAGGGTGGAGCCATGAACAGTGGGCTGCAGGCCAGAATTTCTCTGAGAGTCATCTCGAAGGAGAAGCCATGGATGTACTCTTTTGTGGCCCCAAATCCTCTCTGTTTCCTGGAATCCAAAAGCAGCAGCATTTTAGGGAGGCTCCCATGATCTCAGTGGCTACATCAAGCTTGGCCCCAAGCCTCATGGTTATGGGAGCAGTCAGAGTAGTTCCTGAAGTGTCCCAGGAGGCCAGCAAGGTCACCAACCTGTGCCGGGTCTAAGGAAGATGCAGGACGCTTCAACCTGGCAGAGGGTGCTAAAGAGTGCCAACCTTTCCTCTGTTCATTTAGAAATTTTAAAAAATATATTAACTTACTAAAAATCTCATGGAAACCAGGCTCCTCATCACACTTGAAAGCCAAACCAGTTTCCCAACAACTTCCCTTTATGATTCTTATGGCTCCACAGAAAACCAAAAAAACATTTGGGGCAAGAAGCTATGACTCTGTGAGGCCACATGGGAATAGGCAGTAAATTATTACACTAAGGAACAACCCAGGTAGTATGAAGTATCCCATCACCTGAAAGCCTGGCCTGCCTTGCTCATGTTTCTACCTTCTCAACCCATTCCCTAATCTTTTCAAGCTGCCTCTCCCCTGGTCCCTGGACAGGCCAAATTCCTGCCCACATCTTTTGCCTCCTATCAAAATGCCCTTCCTTGTCAACTTAGTCTATCCAAATTCTTTCCTTTCGAAAAATGGAACTGTAAAGTACTAGAAGAAAATATAGGAGATTTAAAAATCTTAGAGAAGAGTTGGACTTTGTAAGTATGTTGTAAAACCTAGCAGACATAAAAATATTAATATATTTCACTGCATAAAACTAAACATTTCTGAATTGCAAAAAAATTGTTAAGAAAGTTAAAAGACAGATGGCAAACTGCAAAAACATATTTGTAACACATGTGGCAGACAAGGGGCAGATTTCCTTAACATACAAATCAGTGTGGAAAAGACCAACAATAGGGGATTTGAACACAGTTCACAGAAAAGAAAATTCAACGAGATACTATTTTTCACTTATCATCTTGGCAAAGTCAAAAAGTTATAATGCACTGGATTTGCCAGGTTATGGGGAAACAGGAATTCTTAGACACTGTTGGTAAAAATGTAAATTGGTGCTGTCTCTTTGGAGAGCATCTTGTCAAGATAAGTGAAAAACTTATTAATAACTATGCAAATACCTTGACAAAGTAATCCATCTTCTAGGAATTTTGCCAATGAGTATATATCCATATGCACAGAATTAATGTACAAATATATTTATTATAGCATTGTTTTCAGTAGCAAAGTATCTTAAGCAATCTGAATTCTGTCAGTAGGGCGCAGATACATCCATGAAATGGAGTAGTTTATAGCCATTAGAAAATGAGGCAAATCTCTATGTCCTTAATAGAATGGTATCCAAAATATATTAGTGAAAAGGAGTACTGCTCAGAACTTAGTAGATAGGAAACCACCATTTATGTAAAAATAAACAAGCTGTAGCCATAGATAGATGCTTATAAATGAATAGAATGTACCTAGAAGGATATACTAGAAAGCAGTAGTAGTGGTTGCCTCAGAGGAATAGAATGTGGGAAGCAGGTAGAATTATAGAAAGGGGACTTCATTTTCACTACATGTCCTTTTGTACTGTCTGAATTATTTTTATACTGTGTGCATGTGTTACCTATTTTTTAAAACTAATTTTAGCCGGGCGCGGTGGCTCACGCCTATAATCCTAGCATTCTGGGAGGCTGAGGCAGGCGGATTGCTCGAGGTCAGGAGTTCAAAACCAGCCTGAGCAAGAGCAAGACCCCGTCTCTACTATAAATAGAAAGAAATTCCGGGTGTGGTGGCGCATGCCTGTAGTCCCAGCTACTCGGGAGGCTGAGGCAGAAGGATTGCTTGAGCCCAGGAGTAGGAGGTTGCTGTGAGCCAGGCTGACGCCACGGCACTCACTCTAGCCCGGTCAACAAGCGAGACTCTGTCTCAAAAAAAAAAAAAAAAAACTAATTTTAAAAAATATTTTTAGAAACTAATTTTAAAAAATAGCTAGGCATAGATTTGAAGTTAGGCTAGACTCAAGGTATACGTGTAAACTAGTGGTTTCCATAGGTAGGAGTCAGAAAGCATGTAGATACTATAAGTGAAGCAAGATAGTGGGGCTGTGATGGGGAGAGGCAGCAGCAAAGAGACCTTGATACAAGACAGTTCTGGTTTAAATCAAAGGTGTCTGATTTATATTTTTTTTTTTTTTTTTTAAGGCTGGTCAAGTGGAGCAGTGGGAGTGGAGAAGGAACAAAGGAATCTGTAACTGGTTGTGATCAATTAGTTGTAAACACCACTGCACTCGGACCAACCTGATTTATATTTTAAATGAGCATATGCCAGCTCCAGGATATGGGCAGTTGAGGATAGAGGTGGGAATAAACTTAAGAGGAGTGGAAAAACTATTAATTTACAAGGAATGAGAAGATGGGTTTAGGGATCAAGCCAAATGGAAATCCACTAGCTGGAACACTTGTCCCAGTTCCAGTGTCATCCTATACTTTTATGTTGGAAGTAGAGGAGAAGGCAGGAATGAACACATCTGGATTATCTACCATGGCCAAGCATTGAGGTGGGCATTTTAAGTTTACTGTGCCACATTGAATGCTCACAGGGACTCATGGTGAGGCTGTCTTAGGCCATTTTCTTTTGTTATGACAGAATACCACAGACTGGGTAATAATAAAGAAAAGACATTTATTCAGCCCACAGTTCTGGAGGCTGGAAAGTTCAAGAGCATGGCAGTGGCATCTCATGAGAGTCATTCCGTGGTGGAAAGGTAGAAGGCACAATCGAGTACACAAGGCAGAGAGAGGAAATCAGGCCACTCACTTTTATAACTAACCCACTCCCAAGATAACAGCATTAATCCATCCCTCATGACTTAATCACCTCTTAAAGACTCTGCCTCTCAACAATGACAATTAAATTTCAATGTGAGTTTTAGCAGGGACATTCAAACCATAACAGAGATGATAAAGGTGATAATATAATTCCTATTTTACAGGTCAGAAATCTAATTCAGGTCACAGAGATAAGAAGCAAATCCCAGACTCAAATCCCAGTCCCTACTGTTTTTACTATTTGTGCTGGATTATTAGTACACCAAAGAGGTTTTGGCTCTTTTCGTGGTCAGTATGAGCTGAGACTCAAAGTCAGAGCCTTCTAGCACTATTATCCAAAGTCCCTAGCAGGACACAATGGCTCATGCCTGTAATCCCAGCACTCATGGAGGCCCAGGTGGGAGGATTGCTCAAGCCCAAGAGTTTAAGACAAGCCTGAGCAACATAGCAAGACCCTGTTTCCAGGCGGCGTCGGGGGGGGGGTTTTTAATTAGAACAAAAAGAAAGTCCTTGTTCTTCCTTTTGTATCTAGATCCCCCCAAAATCTGAACCCACTTACTATTTCTACCATGTGGCTCAAAGAATAAAATAAGCCACTCCATTTATTGAAAGAAGAAAAATTCCATTTATTGGGAAAAAAATGTCAGCTCCAGTGTTTGGTAATTTCACACGTTTGTTGTTCAGCTTATTTCAAGTCCATAGATATGGTTTGAATATGTGAGTATAATTCTCCTTTTCCAAATTACTAAATCAGTAACTTTCATGACCAATTATTTCCCCTCCCCCAAATTTTTCCACTTAAGAGAAGAATAACAGAATATCATTTCCTCTCTACCTTTTTGTTTTCAACTATCTTGGTTTTTGTTTTCAATTTATTTTATTTGGAGCCAGAGCATAGATTTTTGTCTATTTTGTCCACGCATATCCCCAGCTTCCACCATAGCTCAAAGATTTCAGTTTCTCACTTGAGTTACTGATTTTCTTGCCATGAGTGACCATACCATCTTTTTTTAGCATTTGCCATGACTGCCTAAGCCTCATGAGATGCCTGGTAGAAAATACCCATTATCTCCTTCCTGTGTCCCAGACCCCAGGGAGAAAAAAATATCAATTTTTTTCTGTTCTTTACCTTTCTAGGCAAAATCCATGTTTGGTGACCAGAGCTGTATATATTGATATTCTCTTCCTGTTGACTTGCTGCCCCAACAAAGCCACAAAGGACAACCAGCCAGGTATGATTCATAGTTAGTTGTATCATATTTTGGAATGGTTACAGGTTCTTGAACTGTAGGTGGGGTTTTTGAGTGTCTCTGCCACGCACTCCCCATCTTCTACTTCTGTAAGGCTAATCACACATCAAGATTAAACAGTGTCATATAGTTCTCTCATAGAAGTTTCTCAGGGAAACTTGTCCTTGTTTACTTGGAAGTTTGGTGTTTATTTTCTGGTTTGTCATTCAGAGAAAAGTGTGAACTCTACTCAGATACCCATTTTCTTTGAAAGGTTATCATTTTCAATAACTGAGAGTTCATGCTGTGGCGATAACTGAGCTGGGCTCATTTGATTCTTGAGCCTGAATCTTTGAGACTCTATACTCAAATCTACCCCTACACCAATGAGTGTATGAGTTGCTACTTCATTCTCTTGACTTTATACGTGTTTCTTGGTCATATATGTTTCTGGGTATGAACCCCAGGTTCACATACAATTGTTGTATTTAATCATGATCCACAAAGTGGTTTTTCCCCCTCAAAGGAAGAAGGGCAACTCCAAATAAAATTTTTTTGATGTGTTTATATAAGAGGCCGCAGGAAGTGCTGTACATGAGTTCCAGGCCACAGACTGAAACTGATTTTCATCAACACAAGCTGGAATGCAGGGTAATGAGCCTGCAACTGGTTAAAATCAGCCTCTTCTAATTGATTAGGCCTGTCTAAAGGAGGCTACAATTACAAAGTCAGATTCTGAGTACAAGCAGGCCAGGGCTTTCCTCTGTTACATTTAGTCTGTCAATGATTTGTTGTCTTCAGTAAATACATTCAGGCTGTCAAAGTCCAGCTCTGTCCATATGGAACCCTGTTCCCAAATTCAAACCAATTTAAAATGCTATGTGGGGGATGGGGGAGCGGGAAACCGCCTCACCCTGATCGCTGTATATTAGCCCACAAAGCCCCAGTGGCCATGCAGAGGTAATAAGAACACGATAGACTTTCATCAGCTCCACATCCCTGGGTAGGAGTAGCTATTGTATCTGCTTGGTAATATAGGATCATTGAGTTTTATAGCTATAAAACGGTCCCAGTTTATGCCTCTTGTTCCAGCATTAATAGTGCCCCATTTTACTCTTGAAAGCGTCCAAGTTCACACAGTAAATTACAGGTCACCCTAGCTGTAAGGGACCTCAGAATTGTATCCACTTTAGTTTACACTTGAGTTAACTGGGATCCAGAGATTACAAAGAGATTATGAATCAAATGTTACCAAGTAAATTGTTTTAGATTTCTACCATTTCTTTCAGTTCCATATTCCATATAGCTTTATAATACCTCTCTTCTTATGACTGTAAGGGGCCTTGGCCATAACAGAGTTGCTCACTGCTTACAAATCCATTCATTTGGATTCTGACAGTTTTGTGGTTGACTATAATCATTAGTTTATTTGAATTGAGTTTTTTTTTTTTGGCTTATTCAGTACCATTATTCCTTATCTAGAAGGGTTAACCCTTAAATGTTGTAAAATATCTTCTTCTCTCTTCCCCAGCCATCCATCTTTTACTGATAAGCTGGGCTCCATGAAAATGATTTGGCTTTTTTGAACCATCCTTTTCTCCAAGCTCTTAACATTATTTAGTGTTTATACCCTACTCTTAACATTATTTAGCATTTATACCCTATTTAAATGTGATCATAAGCTGTCTTTCATTACTCAGTATTATTTCACTTGCATCATGTATTATTCCTCTTAAAGTTATTACTTTGCAGAGTAAGTCATGTTGGAATGATAATATTTTAACATTTTGGACTAAATTGTAAAATATATTATTAAAATTAATTTCACCTGTTTACTTTTAAAATGTGACTACTAGAATAGGAGGAAAAAGATAGAAAAAAATTTTTAAAAAGTAAAACTGTCATTGAAATATGTGAATTTATGTGGGGCGCGGTGTTAACGCCATTGCAAGATGGCGCCGGCTTTCTGGTCACGCCGATACTACAGGACTGATAAACAGGGTGAACCGCGCAGGTGTAGGGGCTTTTCCTGTCTCATCAAGTATGCATATGAAGGATCTTAGCTTGGCCTATCAGTAATAACCCTCGCGCGCTCTTAACCTATCCCCATCACTTCCCCCCTTCCTTAGAGTATATAAGTGTGTGAGAGCTTGTGCTCAGGGTCTTCCGCATCATGTAAGTCTAAAGGGAACCCCATTAAAGCACTGTCAGAAGAACTCCAGTTGCCGCGTCTTCCTTGCTGGCGAGGCGGGCGCGACAAATTTAACTATGTCAAGTGGAGAGATCTGAAAAATTATTAATGACTTGTCATAAAAACCAAAAAGTTACATTGAAGTAACATTACTGATGATGGAAAAATTGTGGCTATTTGCATTTTAAATTGCATATATTGGCCAGGTGTGGTGACGTATGCCTATAGCAAAATGCCATCTATCTATCTTTATGAATGTGTGTGTTCATATAATACATCCTTACAAATAATGGTAGCAAATTTTCTTCCTTTGAGGATAGAGTAGATTATTGGAACTAGCCAAATATCAAATAAAATGGCAATTAAAATGGATACCATTGTTTGGGATAAAAATAAACTATGAGCTTAAAGTAGTGAAATCTATTCTTGCGTGTTTCATAAATTGTTTCCAAAGGCAGTTTGAGCAATAGATAATTATATCACCAAATGAGGTGATCACTTATTTGAATGTGTAGATTTCAATATGTTTTCAAAATAATGTCTTGATATTATAGTGTTACCTTGTAAGCTGTTTTGAAAGAACGGACCATGTCTTAGGTCAGGGGTCCTCAAACTTTTTAAACAGGGGGCCAGTTCACTGTCCCTCAGACCATTGGAGGGCCGGACTATAGTTTTAAAAAACTATGAACAAATTCCTATGCACACTGCACATATCTTATTGTGAAGTAAAAAAACAAATGGGCAAAAACACCCACAATGTGGCCCTCAGGCTGTAGTTTGAGGACGCCTGTCTTAGATTCTCTGTCATCCAGCTAAGTACATAGCAAGCCCTTATTTAATGGGTTTGTTATAAACTGATTGAGTGAAATACAGTTTTTGTCAGTTTTTAGAATAGTAACAGTTGTTATCAAGGTACAACAAGTCTTACTTAAATTCATGTATCAGTCAAATGTGAATTCATTTTCTGAATTGAAATGACATGTTTATATCGTGTATATATTTGTAAATACATATCTACCTCCATTATTAGCTCACAAAGCTCAAAGTGAGAAGTATACCACATAGACTCTAAAGCCAGATCCCTGGGTTTGAATCCCAGATCTGCCATTTACTAACTTTGTGACTGTAAGCAAGTTATTTAACATTTTTGAGACACTTTCTCAATTGTAAATGGGGATAATAATAATATCTACATCTTAGAGTTAACTTACATGTATAAAGCCCAATGTAAAGAGTGTGCTCTGTGTGGCACAGAATAAATGCTCAATAAATATTATTATTATTGTCAGCTGGAAACCATACATCTAATCCAGTCCCCTGCAGCCTGGCAGAAGTGTGTTCAACCCATCAGCTTCACACTTCTCCTCATATTCTTAAGGAAAGAAGAACATCTTCAGGAAAGAAGAAATGTCTGCTTTCCTAGGAAATCATTGACATATGACATACATGGCCTAGAATGTCAGGAATCCACTTGATAAGGGATGCCCCTGCCCCTCTAACTGATTCAGGAAAATATCATCTTTTTTCTTGTTCATTTAGTTTTTTATTCATCAGACATGCTCACATCAAACATATTAAGGGATTTCAGATGCTATATATAAAGGAAGTGTGTATGAGACACATATGAGGCACTAGAGAATGAAAGGTCCTTTCTACTTGGGAGAACGGAAAAGGCTTCCTAGAGGAGGGGGTGGTTGGGCAGAGGTTTGGCGATGGTTAGGGATTCACCAGATGGGCAAGGTGGAGGTGGGCATTGCATACAGAGGGAGGAGCATAGCCAGAGCCCCAGGGGCACAAATCAGCACAGTCTTCAAAGAACTAGGACAGAGTGACTGGAGTGTTAGGTTCAAGGCCAGGCAGGTATGATTAGAGGTAAGGCTGGGGAGGCAGAAGCTCAGTCGTGGGAGGCCTCATATGCCAAAGTCGAAGGAGCTTGGACGTGACCCTGTAAACAAAGGAGATTATTGGAGGATATAAGAAAGAGAGTGAGATCAGGTGATTTTTAAGACAAGGCGACATCTCTTTCTCTGCCCTGATCCTTATAGGATTCTTAGGACCCTTATGGAACCAAGTTCCTATTGTTACTCAGAAGGAATGTAACTGAAAATTCATTCACTGAATATCAGGGAGATTTGCCCAGTTGTTGCGATAATGAGTACTGAGGGTTTGGGCAGCAGGGGTGGGGAATGGAGGGTCAGACTAAAATTAAAGGCAGCACAGTGCTAAAAATAATTGTTTCAAAATGGAGGGATTATTGGGGGGGCAGGGTTCCTCCTCTTATTTTCTATTTTACTAATTTTATACAACATAATTCTGTTTCATTCATGTGTGTATAAACATGTATTTAAACATTAAATATATTTAAATGTGAATCTTGAAAGGGATTAGTTATTCCAAACAAAATGAAGTAATAATTTCAGGGGAACTTTTTTGGGTAGAGGAGGATCTGCCCATCCTCTCTCAAATCTATTCTGTAAGTGACCTTGGAAGGCTGATCCTGCCTCTAAAATGTCTCAGAACCACATTGAAGGGCTGGGGGCATAAACAAGGAGAAAAACAGTAAAGGAGAAAGGCAGAGAAGATGATTAGAAAAGCTTAAGATAATGATGTGTTTTGTGTGATTCAAACTTTTATCTTAGTACTTCCCAATCATTTGAGGTTTCCTCAGCCATTAACTAGGTTTTAAAAATTCCAATCTGGGGGTTTTGTTTTGAGTTTTAAAGTGATTTAAAACCACAAGGACTCTCTGTCCCCTGTATTCTTTTTCCTCTTCTGAATCCAGCTGTCATCATTAGTATATATCAGTTTCCTG